TCGATTTTGCCTCATTCGAATTAGAAATCCTGCTCTGTGGTCTGCTATACTTGGCTCTTCATAGTAAGACTGCTTGTTTTGCTGTTTTTTGAATTTGAACCCCATCTCCTTTAATAGTCTCCATAAGTTTTTTTTGGGTCCCTTCAATAAAGAATACATTAACAAAGATGAAAATTGAACTCAATATTTACCACATTAATACCTGCCTTTTTTAGTTCAGATAACAAATTATTCACTGTCACCTGAACCTTCATATCAAATAACTGATAGATCTTCCGTCGTATTGCAATACGGTCGAAACTATCAACAACCCTCTGTAAAAAAATCATTGCATTGTATTTAAATTTTAGTGCTACCTTCACACGAGAACATTTGTATCGCTTTGCAGGTGACTCAAAGTCTTCAGTCGACAAGCACTCATATTACTTGAGTATGCGCCACACTATACATTTACCAAATCCTTTAATTTAGAGTAAAATCAATGCCATAATATAATTCTTGTACCAGTGATATCTATTGTTTTTTAAGAGGGCTTTTCATTTGTCCACCTCTTTTCCCCCTGCTTTTATTTTCCTCTCCAACAAAGTAATTGTAGATCTTGACGACGAGCCTCTTCTCTCCATACTGGATCCTTTTCCCCTTCCCAGGCATAGCTAATCTAAAAAAATAAAAACTGGAATTAGAACAGAACAGGCTTTAAGTTTAATTAGCAATAACAATTATTATAAACAACTTATCCTTTTCCAAAATGATAGCTGTAATATATAATAGAAACAAATATGAAAAGCATTTTTTATTTGTAATGTTACCTGAAGAACTTCAAAGGTATTTGTGTTACTGAAGTCTAACAAAAAGATGCAGCAGTCAAGTGAAGGATTAATATATAGTTTTCAGTAGGTGAAGAAGTCCAAGAGCACTGAAGAATGTAGTAATTCGTTTGTTTTTGTAAGTAAACCCAAGTGAAAACAGTTTTTAAAAGCTTCCATGTGGATAAATGCATAAAACGTGGGTAGGCGTTAACCGCCATGCCCTAATTAATTATGTTGCGTAATTTGATAGCGCATGACATTTAAACACGTGTTTTTCCTGTTTCTTCTCAACTGAAACTGACTATAACAGTAAATAGGGTGATCCTTTTAAGTGTTTTCCTCTTAAAAGTATAAATTGGGCTTCTTGAGTTATGTTATGCTATTATATGAGACTTTCACTTTTGATTTTCTTCCTATTTTCGCTGATATCACAATTCGCTAAATTAAGGTCCCCTTGAAAACGCTAAAATTTAAGAGCGCAATTAATACCCACCCTAAGGTAATCCAGCATTAGTGCTAGCAAAAAGGTGTGGCTTTTGCTGCCAACTGTGCTTCAAAAGATGAAATATTTCCCTTTTATGACCACCAGCATCTATTCCTGGCTCATCAAGAAAATTAACAAAGACACAAAAAATGAATCCAGTGCTACAGGCTTAAACTAAGATGTGACATCTGAAAAATGTGATTTTTTAAATAGTAGCAGAGGATAAAGCTCCAGTACCTGAAATGCAGACTGATTTTTGATTCTAAACCCTTAATATCTTCCTTAATATCTTCTAATTCACTCACTATTGTTTGGTGCCAATATCCACTACTACAAATTTGCCTATATCACATGCCAAATGTTCAGAATCTGTCAAGGCACACAACAAATAACCTAACATGCAAGTCCTGGACATCAGATGCTATCAGGGGCAACCAAACAAAACTCCCCTACTCATGGGAGACCCATACTGGATACAACTCCCTCATCAGAAAATATAACCCTCAAAGAAAACCCAACTGTCGGGATATAGGTCCCATTGCCACGGGGTAACCCATATTACTATCTCTTGAGACATACCTGATGTAATGTCTGCAGTGGATGGAGGTAAGGAAACCAAAGTAGATACCGCTGTCGGAACAGATCCTGAAGGAGAAGGGGATGTGGGAGATGAGATACTGTTGGATAATGTTACCTTGGAGCAGACCATGTTCCATACCAGTGACCCCAGCATCTGGGGGAAGAGAAGCAGTAGCAGGAGTTGTTGCTCCAGCAAGAGCTGTTATCCCTGCGGACACCCGGGGACTAAAAAACCTGGGATAACTAATGAGCTCCCACCAGTAGACACTACTATCAGTGGTGTTCCTAAAGAAATGGGGTGAAGAAGATGAATAGGTCGTCATACTGTATACGCCATATATTTCACAGGTATGAAATTTCATGATTTGGCTGCTTTTTTGTATTTGTAAATCAAAATTTTGTGATTTTAATGTAATTACCATACCTACTATACAATCAGCACACTGTTTTGTGGATTTTGATTTTGCAAATTTTTTTGAAATGCGACAATCTAGAAATTTAATCTTGCAAAATATATGGGGTACCGTAAATCCTTAAATAGAAGCCGCATTTGAATAAACGCCGGGGTAGCAATACAATTTAACTATAAATACGCAACACAGGCCTAGGAGTGATTCAGTAGTCTAGTGGATACTGTCTGAAGTTCCAGAAGTCAAAAGCATGAGGTCACGGGTTCGAACCCTGCTCTGGGCCTAATTTTTTTTTATTTTTTATATATTTTTTCGAGGTCCAAATACCATTTTAGGAAATAGACGCCCGGGCTTTTATTTAAGGAAATACGGATATGGTATTGGGTGTTGAGAAATCACCTAAACAGGCAATGACCCAGGCATAGGAGGGAGTGGGGGAAAGAGGGAAGGGATAACACCAGCAGCAGAGGGTGATAACAGCCAAGACCTAATACTTGAAACAGGCCGTGATCATGCTGGACCAAGCAACACAATGTGAGGAAAGATATGCCACCCAGACACAGCACTGCCGTGATCACATTTTGAAGACAAGAAAAATATCCACAGGAGCTTCTTCTCCACCTTTCAATGCCAAGAATACTTAGCAGACTTGCCCATATGTTAGCATATGCACTGCAATTCTAATCTGGAAACTGGGGAGGCCCCTGCTGATTTATTCCATTTAAATCAGGCTCTAATTAGTTTTGATTAATTGAGTGACACTTACTGACATTTTCAATTTTCATGCATTTTAGCAATAAGTTTTTCTTGGAAGTACTAACATTAAAGCACATGTAATTCAGGAAAATACTTTTTGCTAAACTGCGAATCGTACTGGTTGTGGTGAGGGTCTGCACTTAAGTCCTCTTGTTCAAAGTTGGTAACAAACCTAAAGATGTTGCCCCTCGGGACATATTCTCCAATAATAATGTGGTCCACTGCTAATTCAGCAAACAGTTATGTCATTCTAGCAAAGCACTGAGGCTCTGCATTATTATAAGAGAGCCTACTAGTGCAGTTACAGCTTTATGGGTATTGCTGGGGGCCCACCCCCTAATGGTTTAGGGGAAGTTTTCCTACTGCCCTGCAGCCAGATACTGAAATTGGTCTCTTCAGTATCCTCTGCAACTGACATCCTAGGTATTAGGTTTCTTCTCTGACACCATATAAAGCACAAAAGATAAGCAAAGAAACTAAAATGTATGTACAGGCAGAACAGACTGAACAGCCAATTCCTTGTTTACACAATCCCTGAACTACTGCACATGTGTGGTCCTGAAGGGTATTAACATCATTTAAATTCTCTGAATGTCAATAATTTTTTTCTGAAATTATTATATCATAGTGCATGTGGTGAATCAATTTTCATTTTAGAATCAAGATCATTATGCTATGCTAGGGTTGAGTAGATTGCGTTACAAGGCATCTCCCAAAGAAATTAGGAAAGCTTGTTTGTAGAATTTTAATTGTGTCTTTGTAATGATTGGCTATTACAGATCAGCAACAAGTACTAATACATCATCCTGATAAGCAGGAAAATAAAGAAGATGCAACTTTTAAGTGCATTCAAATAGGTATGATAGTTTGTGTTCTAATTTTTTAATGAATTTGTTGTAGCTTATGAAATATTGGGTAACCCAAAAAAGAGGAAATCCTATGACAGTATAGATCCCACATTTAGTGATGTTGTGCCTTCTGTGTCTACTAATTCAAAGGAAAATTTTTATGACGTTTTTGAACCAGTGTTCAGAGATAATTCCAGGTTTGATTAATTAAAATTTGATATTTTTCCTTTTAGTTTTAGATGGTCAACAATTCAACCTGTTCCTATGCTTGGAAACTCTGAAGCTTCACTTGTAGAAGTAGAGAATTTTTATAAATTTTGGTAACTTTTAGCCAGTCAGACTTTAATTTCTGTTTTACATTAAGGTATGAGTTCTCTTCTTGGAGGGAGTTTTCATTTCTCGATGAAGAAAACCCAGAGAAAGCTGAATGGTAAGCTATTATAATACTAAGTTTCTGTTGCTATTTTGTTTGCAAAAGTCGTGAGGAGAGGCGTTGGATGGAGAAACAGAACAAAGCTGCAAGACTTAAAAAGAAAAAAGAAGAAATGTCTAGAATACGCCAACTTGTTGGTTAGCATGGTGGCAGCTTTATTAGTTATTACTAGTTTTGGTAGATAATGCCTATGCTTGTGATCCACGAATAAAATATTTCAAAGAGAAAGAAAAGGAAGAGAAGGAAGCACAAAAAAGAGCTAAACAAGAAGCTGCAAAGTCTGAAGCTCTAAAAAAGAAATTGGTGACATAATGACTGCATGAATTTAATGATTATGAGTATTAGGAGAGAGAAAAAAAGGAAGAGGAGGAGAGGAAACAGAAAGAATTAATGGAAGAAAAACAACGGCAGGTGATAGCTCAGCAGAAGCAAGAGAAAGAAGCATACAAAAAAGCTATCAAGAAGGAGAGAAAGGAACTGAGGGGTTTTTGCAAGGTTAAGTATTATTATAAATATTATTTTCAATATTGTCATAGGATAAAGATTATTTTGTTCGGTCTGCAGATGACAAAATTAAGCTAATGCAGATAGTTGATCATCTTTGCGAAGTTTTACCAATTGATAGGTGTTAATGTGTTGTTCTGTATATGAATAATGTTTAATGTGTACTCTAGGCTACAAAACCTTAACAGAAGCCTATGTGATGTAACAAACCTTGAAAAGGGGAGGCAATTGATTGAGAATGAAGCAGCTATACTTCGAGAAAAGGATGCAGAAGAGGAACGAAAAGCTTCTGCTGCTAGGGCAAAAGGTAAGGAACCTATTGGCCAAAGAATTATTTCTTATCTGACTAATAGCTAGCTCTGCTCAAGCTAAACCCAGTTGCCAATGGACTAGGGATGAGACTCAGCTGTTAATCAAAGGAGTGACTACATACCCAGCTGGAACAGCGAGAAGGTATGGTATTGTATACACATACCTGTAGCTAGAAATTGCTGTAGCCCAAAATTTTCGCCAGAAAATTCCTTTTTGCAGATTCTTTTTTGTAAGCAAATCTTGGTCTGCTGTAGAAGAGTAAATTTTTAGGGAATAGATTTTTTATTTTGTCAATGTTAAAATTTGCAGAAAATTTAGATCAATGCAGGGTTTACCACAAAGCATGCTACATGCCGGGTTGGAGTCAATTAGGATTATAATCGTAATCGATTGTAATTGATTATATTTTTTTATAATCACTAAACAAACCCTGAAGCTTATAATCATAATCATAATCACGCATTAAGGACAAAATAATCATTACAGTAATTATACATATTATGGCAAAGTATATAAATGATAACATACAATTATGATCACATTGTGTTAATTACTCAGTGTTATAAATTGACTGCAACTTTGCCTTTAAGTCGAGAAATTTTATGTTCTTTAGCATTTATGTTCTCAGAAGTTAACGTAATTAACAAAATATTGAACAATTGAAATGTGTCTAATCATTGTATAATCATGATAAATTTGTTATAATCTCATGATAATCATGCACATAATCATAATTGTAATCATAATCATCAATGTTGCTGATAATCATAATCATAATTATTCACATATACCCAGGTGTAATCATAATCATGATTATAATCATGCTAGTGTAATCAACTCCAAGTCTCCAACCCTGGCTACGTAAGCTAAAAAGCATACCATATAGTGGGAAATTTTGGAAAGAATTAAATTTAGCAAATTTGGAGTTTTGATAGCCAATTGCCAAATTAAAATCTGCCATTTTAAGCCTTTATACGCATGCTCAATGGGGATATGGCCACTAATTTGCCAAGTTAAAATTCACCAATCGCCAAATTTAGCAATTTGCCGAATCCCTTCAAAATTTCCCGTTGTACTGTACTTGATCAACTGACAGCCTTGTAATAGCACATGACTTTTGAAGCAGCTCTTTAAAATTAATTTTGATTAGCATCTGCTCAAAATAGCATGAGTACAATGTACATTATATGTGTTAGAAAATGTAATAGAAATGGAGAATTATTCTCTCCTAGTCATTTTTACCGGATATTTTAGCAAGTTCGAAAATTTATAAAATTCAATTTTGATTGTAATGAACTCAAAATTGAGATTTAACCTAAGGACATGTATATGTATTGGAAAAACATTCTAGTGATTGAGAGTTCTTTCCTAGTCATTGTTTATTAAATTTGTCCGGAGACCCTGTACTATGGTATTTGGCCTTTTCAGCAACTTTAAAAGTCGTAAAAAGTCTAATTTTGATTCGAATCCACTAAAAATTTTATACAACAGAAGTACATGTACATGTATATGCATCAGAAAGTGTAATAAAATTGGAGCATTTTCTCCAAGCAATTTCTGGTGAAATATCATAATAACAGGATTTTTGCTTAGTGCTTAGCTTCTTGTTATCAAGTTACTCAAAAATTGCTAACAAGAAGCTGAGGTCCTACTATACAAAAATCCTGTGAGAAACCTAATGCAGTATGAGTGAAAATGGAAGAGAGTAGAGTCATGGAGACTGAGAGAAAAAAATGTGTGGTAATTGATGTACGTAATGTTATAATTTTTGTGCTTAGGTGGGAGGTAATTGCTCAATTTGTTAATGAGCATTCTTCTGATGCTTGTGAAGAGAAAACATCGGCACAAGTTATTGAAAAAGTTAAATTGCTGCGCAAGTTAGGTATGTGGGTTGGTGTACTAATTGGCTAATACTTGGGCATTACTGTATAGAGAGTGTCAATAAAGAAGATGCCTTTTCACTATTTGAAAAGAAGCATGCCTCTAAAGAGTCTGTAGCTAGTGCACCTACAGTTAGAGATGGTAATGTATTATTTTTAATTGACTTTCGATGCTTGTTGTCTTTAGTATCTGAAGTACCTACGCCTTGGTCTGTACAAGAACAAAAGGTGAGTCATTTACTTTTTATAATGCTGTATTTTTCAGTTTTTGCATTTTTAGATTCTTGAAGAAGCTTTACGCAAGTATCCTTCAAATACTCCCCAGAGGTGGGATAAAATTGCTGGAGAAGTGAGCTCCAGAACTAAGGAAGAGTGCATAGCAAGATTTAAGGTAGAATGGTCATTTATGGTGTATGTTTCAAATTATTTATTTGCCCCAGGAATTGGTAGCTAGAGTCAAAGCAAAAAAACAATAAACAAAGCATTAATAATTATTATTTACAACATAATGTGACTGGTGCTGTCCAATTATAGTGATATGATTTTATTGTTTCTATTTCATTCTGACAAAGGTAACCTTTGTCTTTCAAAAGTTTGTGTTTGTTCGTCATTGATTCACTCGTTTCTGGATGTGTAATAAGGTACTGATTCATACACCCTCGTGATGAAGGGCCAGTATTGAACCTGATGTCATGATGACGCTTGATATCTTTCAATGGAGACATCCATACTCCTAGTCCTATGTCCTCATTGTCCGTATGATCTAAGTATGGACCCACGTGCACTATATAGGTCACGAGGTCTTTTGAAAGCACATATCCACCACCCTGAACATATGGAAGATACGACAAACAAAGGTTCCACTTTTGTTCAGCTTTATGTCCATTTCGTGTCACGTTTTGATTACCAACAAAATAACCCCATAAAAGTCTCTTGTTAGGAAGATGTCTTAATTCTGGCATTAGCTTTGCAACTGAAATGTAACTATGATCGTTGCATTTTAAGAGATGCTGAAAGTTAATATTAACTGCAGACCAGTTTAAAGCAGAGAGGAGCATTTTGGAATTGTATTGTTGAGTGTTTATGAACAAAATGTCATTGTACTGTTCACTTTCAAGCAGTGAAGGTTTGTGTTTACTAATTTTTAGCACAAATAAATGTGCTGCTGTCTTCAAATACCGTAGGTCAGACAACCATGTTTCACGTACAACTTGTCTTTGTTTGATTGAGTGTGGATGTGAAAAGATTAGTACCAGTACATCGACAGAAATGCCAGCGCAGGATGGTGTCCTTATTTGTAATGTCGACTCATCGTATGCATATGGGTCATGTGACAAGCTGTCTGTAGAGCTGCTGGAGGGTGGTGCTGGTCTACTGCTAGTGTCTTCTTGATAGAAAAGAAGATAAGCCAGCGATAGCCCTATAAAGAAAGAGGTAATACTTTGCAGTACCAGACGCATCACGAGACCCTTGAAATTTTCAAGCTGAAAAGGCGTTGTCGGACTGCCTCTCTACATGATGGCGGCTTCTGCCAGTTCTAAGAAGGACCGCTCTTCTGTCTTGGAAAAAGTTGATCGTAGGCTAAGTGTGGACCCTACCATACCTCTTACAGCTACAATTTTGACGTACAAGATAGTGCAATCGCATGTGGTAAGTGTATTGTCTCACCTTATTGTGTCAATCTGTTTCTGTGTACACAAGGAATATGTAATAAGGGTACAAAGAGGGCCCAACCCTGACGATAGCTGGGACGTAAGTTTATGCTGAGACTTTGTTTTGTGAATTGTTTTCATTCTCAAAAGGTTGAGAGACGTTACAGTGACTTTGCTGCATTGAATCAAGCTTTACAGGTAATTGATACTTCAACTGTTATTATGCGTAGAGAGCAATGTTGATCATTTTGTCAACCAACACTCAGTATTGGTTGACAGAAAGTGTTTGACTGCATTCATTGAATGATGGTGATGAGTGTGTGCGATACACCAAAATAGCAGAGCAAGCAATATGACAAAAATTTGTCCCGAATAACATTTAATGCTTTCATATTTATTAAGCATCATAAGCTATGCCAATTTTGCTGAACTGGCACTATCTGTATACACAGCCATTTCCCATTAGCTCAGTTAGAGGGGAGGTTTGCGATCATGAAGCATACTACTGCTTGGTACGTGTATTATAATAAACCTTGAGCTTGAAGACATGTACAGTGAAACTTCTCTTTAACAAAAATTGTTATGTATTTTTTTAATGTTTGAGCTTGATTTCCTATTAATAAAAAAAACTTTTTTAAAATCTAAACTTCCATGTAATAAAAACAAATATTGGTATCTCTCCTAAAAGGTTCATTATTTGGAATTTCCACTTTATTGTCCAACTCCAAAGAATTTTTAATGCTATCAACTGGCATATAAACAAGATGAATGAACTTTTCCTTAATTACTTCACTATCATAATTGCTTACAACCTAATGTGAAAAGCTTAGTACTCTAGGCGGGGTGATTCAACTACACATATTGGTTTACAAACTTTAGTTTTTACATGAGACTATCAGGAGTTACTTCATTACGGTCTGTTCCTTGATGCATTTTACCAATTGTTTAGCTAATGCATGATATGCCTAAAACCAATAAACTGGCATGGACATATCTTAATTGTAAGGTTTCCAACAGGATTTTTGTATAATTATCATGAAGCTTCTTGTCAATGGATTTTAATTTAAAGTTGCTCCAAAATTTTACAAAATACCATGTTCTCCAAAAATCGCTGAGAGGAACTTACCATTTGTATTTTCTATATAATGTGTTGTATGGAGATTCCGAACTGTTTCAATCATTAAAAAATTTTAAAAGCCAAAATCAGACCAAAGCTTCTGTACTTTATGCAATGTACGTAGTACATGGTATTAAGCCAAGTTAAACTATAAATGTTACAAGTTTGAGTTGATTCCTACGAAAATTGGATTTTTATGAATTTTTATTTTTAATGTCGCTCAAAAAGCTGTACATGTCTATTGGCATGCTTTTAGCTCACTTAGCATGCTTTGTGGTAAACCCTGATTAATTGCTTACATTCAATTTCTCTTATTTGCATATCTAAAAAGTTTTTATTGCTTCTGAATAATTGTTAAAATGTCTTGCGGCACTATTATTTGTACAGTGTAACAAGGTTATTGCCAATTACTATGTAGATAGCCAGCCATCATTTGTGAGATTTATGTTTGAAGTAGTTCAGTCTGTTGACTTGTGAATGATTTCTAGATATCTGGTGTTCAAGTTAATCTTCCACCAAAGCGAATGTTTGGGAACACTGACAAGCAGTTTGTTACTGAAAGGCAACAGGGTCTTCAAGAGTATCTTAATATTATTGCGAAACATCCTTTTATAGCAGCAAGCCTTGATTTAAAATTATTCCTGGATCCTCATAATTATTCAGATAAATGTCATGGTTAGTATGATTATCTATATGGGCATCATGATGTGAAGTAATTGTATTTATTAGAGATAGCTTTACGTAATGTATCCATGTTCTTTCGTTCTAATCCAGAATGGGCTATTGTAGAATCCAAAAAAAATATTGGTACATATTTATTTTCAATGATTACTTAAGTACATGGTGTATGTTTTAGGATGGAGAATCAACAAGCATTATTATCTTATTGGTAGCAAAGGTGACGGTTTCAAGTACAAAAGAATATTGACATGGGTATAGTACTATTAATTGGTAATGTTAATCTAGTACAACTTTAGATTGAACCAGGTCCTGATTTTTGTGTTCCAGAACGTGAACTTGAATATTTATTAAAAATTTTAGTTGATCTTAAAGTAAGAATTATTACATTTTGTCGTAACATTTGTTATTTTTTAAGCATCCCAACATTCTTTCACCTTTGTCAGCCACATACAATGGTACAGGGTTACTGGTCACTAGAGAATTCTGTCCAAAAGGATCATTACGAGACTACATGCATAAAGTAAGTCTTTGTATTGTCCTATTTGTGTTACATGAGTGTATAACAATAGAGTGGCCCACAACATTATTTGAAGAGCTGTTGCCCAACTTCTCCTCTTGATCTTGGCTTGATAAAAACATATGGTTATCAAGTACTGTGTGTTATGGAATATCTGTTGTCAAAAGGGTTTGTTCTAGGTAATGTACATGTATGCTGAGAATGTACATACTTAGTATGCATACTTTGTAGGTCATATAACTTCTGGGAATGTTATGATCATTGATTATGGCTTGTGCAAGTATGTTGTGTTATTTCAATCTGATAATTATTTTCTACTACAGAGTATCTGACTTGGAGAATTGTCTTGCTGGTTTACCAGTTTTTCATCGAACATTTCTCCTAGAGCTCAGAAAAGTTCAGGTAGTTTTTGTGCATTCAGATATTGGTTTTACATGTAGTTGACCCAGTGTAAACAATGTAATCCTAATAATAGTTTATAATGAGTCAGTACAACTAATGCTCGCAATTATATGTATCAACTAGTGTATATTAGCATTGAACAGTAGGAGCTAATTGTGAGCTTATCCCAAGAGCTAATGCTGTTCTCACTCAATGCATTATTAGCAATAGTCATTGATTTTTTTGTTTTGCACTTGACAATTGATAGGGAGCTGAAGCTGAAGCTGTTTATTCCTTTGGACATCTTTTATATGAAATGGCATATGGAAGAATACTTGAGACAGCAACAATAGAAGCCCTCCCTCCATATCCTGCAGTTGACTCTAACCTAGGAACACTTCTCATGTCACTGTTAAGTGTAGCTGGAGTAAAAGCTTTACCAAAAATCAGTGATCTTGTGTCTCATTTGTAAGAAATAATCATTACTCTTATTATCTCATTTTATCAATTAGATTTTTCGCTGGTCAGCTTCCTCTTACTGAAAAACCTTCATTAAAAGTATGCCAATCATTTTATTTTACTCATTAATTTGTTTGTAAGGTCCCTAGTCGTTTAAAAGAATTCCTAGTTTCCATGAGAGATAAAGTTGACGCTAGATTGCAAGAGGATCAACGGAAGCTTTCTCATTTCCTTCGTATGTCAAAAGCACACGATTCTCTAATGTCGGAAGAGGAAAAGAAGAAACGAAGGAAGAAGATGAGGAAACAAATGACACAAGAGGCTGACCAGACACTAGCAGAGGCATACCCAACCTCAAAATTGACAAAACAACTGTCAGTTCCTTCGTCATCAGCCCCTACCAATAGACCATCAAGCAAAGCCTCAAGCAAGACGAGCAGCGCCAGTACAGCCTCAACAGCTCCCAAGAGCCCATCAACATCAAAGAGTCCATCGACAACAAAGAGCCCGTCAACACCATCTGGTAATAGACAGCTATGATTAGTGTACATGTATTGATTGTTTTTATAGTACCAGCTCCACCTACCACTCAAGCACCAGAGCCAACTCCTCCACCTGCCAAGACTGGAGAACGTGGTGCTCTTTTGAATTCTATTGAGTCATTTGCTAAAGGGAAACTCAAGAAAACGGTCACAAAGGACAGGAGTGGACCTTTTTTATAGAGATGACATGTTGTAATAGTATATTGAATTTTAATTTTTAATAATAAAAATTAATAATAATTAAAATAACGCAAAACAAAGTCAATCACATACTGTTCTATGATATGGAAGTCACTACAAGATTTCACACCAACTCAACACAAGACAATAAAGAATTATGAAATGGTAATAAATGAATGTGGGAGTGATGACAATTTGAGACCATCCTAAGGAGTGTTGCAACATAAACAAAACAGGATGTGGTTAGAGTATCACATTACCTATTTATGTGTAATATATTGTATTATAGAATTAGGGCGGGTCGTCATTCCTTGTCAATATCCTGATCCTCAGATCCATATTGATCAATTTCAGAGTTTCTATTGCGTCCTAAACTGTTCATGTAATCCCTAGAAAAGAGCACAATCATAGTTATTAAGAGCTTATGCATGCTACCTGGCATATTTTTCACGAGTGTTACTAGCAGCAGGGCTTTTCTGAACACCTACTGCATTGAGTAGCTCTCTACTTGATGAATTAGCCTGACTGCTTGGATCAGTAGGTGGTTGTTGCTCTTCTTGGATACTTGTATGACGTGGCAAAGATTGATCGTCGTAGTCTAAGAATTCAAACACAAAAGTGCAGTACATGTAATAAGGATATAATGAAGCTTACTGTAGCGTGGGACTTCTGGCAGTCTTCTTATGATCAGTGACACCTTTTCACCGCCATGTTTTATAATGGTGATTGCATCAGCATGCAACATACCCTCAGTAGAATTACCATTGATCTCAAGCAGCTCGTCACCAACCTGAAACAGACAAACAGACTTGATAATACAAGTAATATTTGTATTTTTAGAAAACCTTTAGACTTTGGCTCTTGTCGGCAGCTCCATTTTCAGCAATCCTCAAAACAAATAAATGCGAGTTGTACTCTGCTCCTCCACGAATACTAAATCCAAACCCATTCTCATCTCTCTGAAACTCAATGTGATGAATTTCTTCATCATCTATTCCTTCAAGATCTGCTGATATCTGTGGACCCACTTCCTCTCCACTATAAAATTCAAAACTAATGAACTAATTATCAATAGTTGTACACTAACTATTGCATGGATCTCTGTTGTCCCTGAGGATATGAGGAAACAGGTACTGCCATTGCCGCCTGCATTGACTGCTGCTCTTGCATTGATGACATCTGCTGTAATTGTAGTATCTCATCTTTATCTGTAACACAAATACATTTCAAAGGAATTCCTGCTAATATCACATGCCAACCTTCTGGTTGCTGTACTACTAGTTTAATAGTAGTGCTTGAGCCCTTGATAAGACCAACAATATCTCCATGGTCCATTTGAGTCACATCAACTCCATTCACCACAAGCAGTTCATCATAAAGATACAACTGCTGACACTTCTCAGCAGGAGAATCAGGAATAAGACGGCCTGTAGTTATACAAAGTACATAATAGCAAGCTATACTCATTCAAGCAAACTTACATATCATGCAACCAGTTCGTAGAGTGTTGCTTTGCAAAACAAACCCGAAACTTGTTTGTGTGTTTGGACGATATATGACAACTTCACGAGGGCCAGGATGTGGTTCATCACCATCAGTCATATTAGGTGGAACATGAGAGGGCCCAGACATTGGCCATGGCATTTTCCTGCGAACATGCAATTCAACTTTACCAACTTGTCCAGCTTGAGCAATTAGTTGAATCACATCTTTATGCGGTGCGTCCATCACAGAGAGACCATTAATCTGAGTTATTTCATCCCCAACCTATATACCAAAAACAATGCAGCAATAATAATGCACACAATGGTCCAGCAATATTATATCCCACCATTAATCTTCCATCTAAATCAGCAGCTCCTCCTGGTACAATACCACCAATAGTAGCTTGAGACCCTTCTTCCCGACCTCCAATAACTCTGAAACCAAACCCTGAGACCTGACGCTCCAGCATCACAATCATATGTTGAAAAGGCTCTTCACTAAAATGTGGTGGAGGATAGCCAGAATAGCCAGGAGGATATTCTCCTGGATAAAAGTCTTGTCCTTGATTCATAAACGTCTCAGAAGCTGGAGCAGCTACATGAATATGAATTAAGTGAATAAATTGCATAAAGCTACAAATTGCTTACATCGTGACACAAGAAAGTTGGCTGTATTTCCTTTAGGACACCTCTTCAACAGTGTGATGAGATCACTATGAGTCAGTGATAGAACATTCTGTCCATTGAGCTCAGTTATCAGGTCACCTTCCCGTAACTGAGCACAACGTGGTATGTCCATAATTTGCTTAACAATTGGGCCTTGTGGTGTTTCACCTATACATAACAACAGTAAACAATCACTGCATAAACCATATACACATGCAGATGCTTACTAAGAGAAAATCCAAATCCCAGTGGTCCCTTGACAATACCAACAACAACTTTCTCTGGAGGAGGCAATGGGCCTAAGCTAAACTTCCTGTTGAAATCAGATGCTAAAGCATCTGTGACCAGTGGTTGCCCCATGTCAAACTGTCGAGTTAAATTAGACTCGGAATACGATGGAAGTTCATCTGTCATACTGTCAGGCAGAGGGTAACCACGTCTCACCTCCAGTCTAACTGGCGAATGCATAGGAATACTCTGAAAGAGATCAACCACACGTTTATGATTATGAGCAACGACACTCTCCCCATTAACACGAACAAGAACATCACCAATTTTCAGGTTTCCATCGCGATCTGCCACACCTCCTTGGACAATACTGCGTATCTGAAGTAGCTCACCAGGCCGATCACCGCCAATAATAGTAAAGCCAAAACCAGTAGGATTTTTTGTAAGGGTAACAAAAATGGGATCACCTCTTAGGTTAGACTCAATTTCTTCAGGATTAATAGTATCGGGGAAATAAGGGTAGCCATCGTTGTAATCAGTTAGCCCAGCTTGTGGCCATTGGGCAGCAGCTTCAGCCTCTCTCTGTTTCTCTAAAGCAGCAGCTGTGTGGAAAGATGGAGGAGCACGAAGAGGTGGAGGCAAAGATGTCGGTGGTAGAGATGGAGTACGCTGAGACAACTGTGACCCTACAAACTTTCTTTTAGCCTCAACAACAGGATTCTCATACTGAGTCGTTCGATTAATGTGACTACAATTAATTAATAATAATACATACATGTAATATTAATATATACATGTACACACATACTCTATATAATAGACACCAAACATAGGATCGTTAACTTTCTCCCAGCCATAAGGTAGCTCTACAAATTATATTAATAATGTGAATCACTAAATATTATATAGTACCATCATCTCCACAATCAAGTAGAGAATGTTTTAAATTATGGACCAATCTAGGATCTAGCCAGTGAGTTGTCCCAGTATTGTGACTATTATGTACATAAAAAGTAATGCAGGTAAAAAATTCAAATTACTCAATAAAATATTTCTCATTATTTTCAGTGTAGGCTATTTCCCAGTTGCTTGGTAAAGGACCTGTAGCTTGAGGTATGGATAGCCTGGGTATACTTGATCTTGGAGCCTACACAAAACTGAAAAAAGCTTACAATCAACAATTAATACCTGTGTTGGTATTCCAGAGGTTGCATTTCCAGGCATCAAAGGCTCTCTGGGGCTGTACCCTGAGCTAGCAGGAGCACGGGAGTAGCCAGGCAAGACAGCATGAGAGGGAGGGTCAGGAGGTGGCTTAGGTGTACCATAGTGATTATTTTCATACGTTCCACTCTCAAGAAGGAGCCCTTGCTTATCCATCTTCTTAAATTCTTCGACAGAAATGAAATTATAATCAACGCCATTTCTTTCTTCATCTCTTGGTTGTCGTGTCGTGCCTTCAAAAAACAAGCAAAAAGTTAATAACAATTATTATTTATATTTATTAAACCACTTACAAGGAATCACTCGTGTGTGCAAGTTTTCTCTTATTTGATGCTGTAATTCGCTGTCCACAGAATTCTTTGTAAATCGAGATGCTAAGTAATGCCGAATGTCTTTTGTAATGGTGGCATCTAGACACATGGAGATAAAATAAACACTTTTTAGTTTACTATAAATAATAGTAAAACAATAATGCACAATACCAGTACATGTGTACATGCATGCATGATACATAGTAACAACAATGTACACTGAATATGTAGGCGTGTAGATTAATTGAACATACATACCAAAGTCACTGTAGATGCATATTACACAATCATTACTTGATCAAATACTTAAAACTGCATAAAATACTTACTCTGTTTGACAGTAACTAGAGAAACGGGATCAGCCGATCGTTTGATAAGGGCTATGACATCTTTCTTTATCATACCAGGGACTCTTTTATGATTGATCTCAATAATTAGCTCTCCTGGGTGGAGTTTGCCCATTTTATAATTGATACGATCCTGTCTCAGGTCCCCTATCAATGGAAAAATGCCATGCTCTGCTCCACCCTCGACATTCAGACAAAAATGACCATCTTTATTCCTGCTTATGAGAGTTTCGTGGGCCCGTATGCTCCAATGTTTCCTCTTAAGAGAATTAGAGCGACCCAATGGGTCGTTGTTGGAACTCATCCTAACAGAGTCTCCCAAAACCTCAAAAATTTCGTCGTATCAGAATGACTTTAAAGAATCTCTTCCTCACTTCACAGGAGTCGCTACAAAAAGTTTATCAGTAGAGCCACTGGTAGAGCTAGAGAGAGATTCCTATCGTTCCAATCAACACCTAAACCCCGCCTTCGCATACTGCGCATGCGCAGAATTCGGCCTACTTACTATCGACAAATCCACAAAAATCATTGGGCAACAATCAACACTACTGTCTTCTACTGGAAATACTCGTAGGATTTCAACTCTGTTACCATACAAGATCTTTATAAGGTGTATATTTATAAAGCTACTGTAGACAAATATTAATTTTGTATGCTATTGGCTTTTGCGTGTAATAAAATGATGATGTACTTATAGCTACTATGGTATAGTACTTTAGTGTAATGAAAGAAAATGGTAGTGTGATAGATTGTTTTATGTGCTTGCCAGATTGTATTTGTGAAACTTGTAAGACATATTGTGGCTAAGTTTTTATTGACAGTAGCAGGTCATGTTTGTGTCTTAGTGGTTGGCTCTAGTGGTTAGGAAGTCGTGTTGGTGGGGGCCAGTCACTTTTAGTGTTGTTTGTCTCACTGGATTGGTTTAATAGACGAATTAGTTTAGAATACTTAGCATATTGAAACTGATAAAGCTAAAAACAGCATTCAAATATGTATGTGTACATATACATAAATGTTTGCTTTGTTAATTTGTAATGTGTTACATGGATGTATTTTCCTTTATAGAGGCATGCCATTGTTATGGAAAAAGCGAAATCAGAAGGTGGCAGCTCCTGTTGTGGTGGCAGAGGAAGCTAAAAGCCACAAATTATGTTCTGGTCAGGATGTATTGACAGTCAGTTCTGGAGAGCAAAAGAGTACCAATGATACTTGTAACAATGGGATGGTTTTTGTCTTTGTGATAAAGGATTTCACTAGCACTATTAGTGATGAATTGAGTGTTGGTCGTGGTCATGTAGTTCAGCAATTATATGAAGACAGTGCTTGGTCATACGTAAGGAGTATTGATGGAAGGTCAGGATACATTCCATCTAGTGTAACTTGCTCACTGGATGACATTCAGAGTAGAGGAGAGTGGCTTGATGGTAGGCCTATTTCTAGAAAGTCCAAAATATTACTGCAAAACAATACTTCAAATGGTATCCAGTCTAGCCAGCCAGCATTTCAGAGAAGAGGTGTCCCTTCTGTACGTCCAAAATTAAATGATCCTCACACTGCAAGCAATGCTTGTACTAATCATGAAGCGTCTGCTATTATTGAGTTGAGTTCTTCTCCTTATGCTGTTCCTTCTCTCCACCCTCTTCATCCTCTTTCATTATGCAAGTCAATGACACCAAAGAGTAGCAGCTCCTCAAAGCATAACTCTGACTGTCATCCCCAGCCCTCCTTTGATCCACCATCTATTGCCATTCATGCAAGAACACAATCATATCAAGAAGCTGTGACTGACCACGAGCCTAGTAGCTATCACTTATACAGTGTACCAATAGAGCATCATTCTAGGCCACGCAATTTACCACTTCGTCCAAATGGTTTGCAAAGCAATCAGCTCACGTTTACCAACACAACCAGCTATACTACAACTGGTCTGAGAACTACTACTACTCATGCTTCACAATTTGATGACGTGTTTTTACCTTGCAATAATAAACCAATTGGTATTTTTAAGTCAACTGGAAAGTATGATAAGACTGTACCTGGAGAGGTATCGCTGAGTCAGAATGAATATGTCATCGTAACAGAAATGGGCGAGAGTGAATGGGCATGGATCATTTCAGCATCAGGTGATGAGGGTGTGGTACCAAAATGTCTTCTTGCTCGTTATAATCCTGCTCCTGAAAGGCTTGACACCGTTGGAACACAAACGGAACTCATTGTTATGGCACCAATGTGCACAATTCCAGCTCGACCTCTTCATCAAATAAATAGAACTACATGTACTTCTCGTGAAGTTGAAACTCACACTATGCGACCAGAGGAGCCCGAGGTTTCATTGCAAAGAACTGAAGTTGCTGTTCAAACAGACCACATGTCACCTGTTATTATGGATGTATGGAGTCAGTCACAAACTATTGATGAATTTTGGTATGAGAACTCTATGTCTATTCCTCGTTTAAATGGGTTTAGTTTTAGTGGAATTGAGAGTCCATCCATTTGTACACTTCCGACCATTAATGGCATCAATGAATCTGCTGGTATACATGAGTCTCGACATAGCTTACCTCATTTGCCTCTTTTCAATACACTACATAGCAAGAAATCATCTACTGCTGATGTAACTGCAACTCTTGACTCAAACAGCAGTTTTTCTCCAGCTAGTGGTGTCCGGCCTAATGTTATACCACAAAACAACGTCAGTAGTCCACAGACTATAGTGCTGAAGGTAGTTAGGAGCTATATACCAGGTGCTAATGAAGTGGATCATCTTCATTTAAATAAAGGAGACATTCTGCATATTTATCCTGGTAATAATACTGTTCAAAGAAACTGGATTTGGGCATATCACATGGAGCAAGGCACATATGGATATGTACCCAAATCTCATACTGCATTTTTATGTGTGACTAATTTTCGACATGTAAATGGAGGGATTATTCGTTATGATGAAGTTTAAATTTTTGTAAATACATCTTTGTAAATAATTGTCACTATGTGATTTATTTTATTTATTGCAAAACATGCACATGTATTTTCTACAAAATTATTTATTGTGTAGGTAATTGTTTATATATTGGTATTACATTGCAGTCATGTTTTAAACTCTTACATAATGCAATATCTCCTGGTACGTAGCCTATTAAACCTTTTTCCCTTTCGTTACTTCTAATAGTTGCTAGTGCAGGTAATGTATCTACTCGAAGATGCTCTGTTGGTGCAATGGCTGATGGTATGTCAGGATCATCTTTTAACAAACTTTTCAGTTTGTCTTGCTGAGAAGCTGCTCTAGGACCTTGCTCTGTCTTGATCCCTTGACGAAGTGTGTAAAATTGCATGTTGTCAACTACAATTTTTGCTCTCCATTTTTCTTGCTCCTTTTCCTTAAAGCTTTTCATTTCTGTATTGCGACACTCTCCAGCTAGATGAATAGTGGCAGGGTATTGTGATCCAAAATATTTTGGAGGCTGCGTGTAACAGTCAAAGTCATGTGCCCTGTTGTTCCAACTAAACTTCATCCTGTAGAATAATAATTTTAACAAAAGTGCTTTTGATTTAAGCAATATTATGCTTACCAATCCACACTTGGCTGTAATTTATTACTGTGCAATAAATTATCAGAAAATTTCTACAAACAAAAAAGAAAAAAAAGAAGTGGTCCATGTGAGTCTCGAACTCACGACCTTCGCGTTATCAGCACGACGCTCTGCCACTGAGCTAATGGACCGCAGTGGATGCCCCTGAAAAATTTTATTGTACCTGTTTTAATTCTTCCCTTCTACTAATATGAAGTCCTTTTGGATGAGCATTATCTTGTAAAGCGGTCTTGGGACCAGGAAAAACAAAGCTATTTACATGACTTAATGCAAGGCAGGACCAAATTACACTAACTCTTGATCAGATATCCATTTACTTCTGCTTCCTCTTTGCCAGTACAACTGGAGCTCCTTTTCAACATCAACTGGTTCAACTGTCATGCTGTGATAGTGCTGACAGTAAGTGTATCGACTCTTAGGATTCAATCTTTGTCTTAGCATAGCTTTGTTTAAAACAGCTGAATTATAAGTTTGGCTGCTATAAACAGCTGTTTGCTAAAATCATATTATTTTATTGCCAGAGGCCAATAATGAAGTACATACTTTATTCCCTTCACTACTTGATCTTTTACGAAATTTCTTTGTTTTCTTCACTTCATCTGACATTTGCTGTACTTTAAGCTACAAAGAGAAATGTTCCTATAATTAGCTGAAAGATTCAAGCACAAACTATGTTATGTGTTATTTTATCTGGCTCTGGCAATTGTTTTCTTTCCTCCAATAAGTCTTCGTATTTGTAGTTGACATTGTCTAATGTATCAAAATTTCTTTTAGATTTACTTTTAGATACAGAGATAACAGTAGCTAGAGATTCCTCCTCCAAAATTTCTTTAAACAAGAGCAAAATAAAATTTAGTATGCACATGAACTAAAATTCCTACCAGTTTTTGTTGGTATAAGTTGCAAGCAATACACACTTAGGCTGCTGATCATGTCAAATGAAGGAAACATATCATTCCTTATTATGGAACAAAAATCTTGTGCAAATATTAGCTAAAATGAGTTGTAAAGTGAGCATAATTGCATTTAATCTAACTTACGTCATGAATATTTTGTAGTGCAATAAAGCAGAGTCTGGGAATAGAGTCATGAAGGTACACTGTTGGTTCCTTCATAATTTCTTGCAGTGACTGTGGAAGTGTAATATGTACAAGATCTACATCAAGCTTTCCATATATGCGCTTTGAAAAGCTATAATCTGAATCATAAAATGCTTTTACCACCTCATCTGCAATTGAAAATGACCACAAATTTATAAATAAGTAGATTGTACCTTGTGTAGACTGATGTGGAATTGACTCCCAAATGTTTAAAATTCCTTTACCATGAAGTCCTTCTAGCATAAAAATATGGTTATCAGTATCTTCTAAATGAAACCCAGTAATAACATTACATTGAGAGCTATTTACTTGCTCCCTATAAAGAAGGTGAAGAATGTACATCAATTGACACATACTCAGTTAATTTAAATGTTGAGAGAATAGCATTTCTTTCAGAAGGTGTTTTATCTAATAGATTAAGTTCAGAAGCATTGATCTCACTTATGAGAGCTACCAATCGTTCAACCAACTGGGGATTTGCAGTGGACACCATAAAAACAAGTCGACCAAAAGGTGTCTAAAGGAATATAATTTAACATTATCTTTATCAACAAATCATCATCACTATACCATTGGTCTTTGTGAAAATAAGTCATCTTGATGAAATGACAATGGAGCAAAAGATAAAGGAAAAGTCAAGTGGACGATGACAGTGACCTGACTCTCATAGTTGATGTAATCCATATTAGCTGCAATATATATGTTCATTTAAAGTAAAAATAACCAGTATCATACATTTGGAAAATTCTTTCATCATGTGTGACGCAGAGCTTAATACTGGTAAAGTAAATTCCATTGTAGTTACTCCTGTAAGTAAAGCACTAAGGTCAAACTTAGCTCCTGGAACAATTCTATTGTCTTCTTTCTCATCATTTGCATCTGCACAAAATGTTCATACAATGAAATGAATTATACTGAAGAATGATGGCTTACCGTTGCAGTTACAAGTTCCTAATGTTAAGTCATGTAAAAGTTGACCAAAAATGGCACCTTCTGGTTGCTTCTTAGAGCTAAATTTATCATTTTCTGAGCTATCAGTATCATGTACATGCATTTCAAAAATTAATGGAGGTCCACGAAGATATTCAAGTAAGAGTTCAGGTACAATTGTTCCAAGCAATAATACATTACTCGAATTCCAAGCAAGAGCACAAGAATATGGAATACTTTCTGTAGTCACGGTTGGCTTATTAAAGAATTGATACTTGACATGAACATTGGACCTGTACACATGTATAAGCAAGATTTTTAAACTATAAAAAATAACTAACTTACTTTTCACATTCTTTCAAAGGAGGAAGAGTGCAATCTTTGATAGTAATAGTCATTGGATTAAGAAGCATTCTTTGCTTGTCAGACATTAGTGGTGAATCAAGACTCACAATAACTTCAAAATACTTCAAATCCCCTTTGCACTCTTTTAAGGTGGCTTTGGCTAAATGATCACCACCAAATAGGTCAGCTAACTTAATAGATATGACAACCAAACCCTCTTTATTGATTCTCTCTCTTTCATTATGTTCATCTTGTAGTAGTTTAATCTGTTGCTTTGAAAGACCTGTAGAAAGCATGATCATGAAAATATAGATCTACATGTACACATGTATAATAACAGTGTGCTTACCTCTCAACCCAGGTGTAAGAGATGCAGAAGTCATAGTAGACTGTGATGGACCATTCATTTGAGTTTGAGAAAACTGAGTGTTGCTAATAGGATCATTCTTCTCTTCAAAGTGTATCTCCTCAATAATTGATGGCATCGTTTGAGATTTTTGAGATGCCAAGTACTCCATTGAGTCATCCATGCCTTCTAAATCAATTTGTTCACTCAACCTTCGACTTCGGTGACGTGCAATTTTTACCGATGTGGTAGACAAATCATGATATACTCCTGGGAAGTGCAATTTGTTGTCCTTTGGATCTCGTTTAGACAGAGGTAATCTGAAAGCTTTTGGACGATCATACCGAGCCCTAGCGGATACTTTATCTGGCGAATTCCAGAGACGAACACTAAAAGTATGGCTGTACAACTCAAGCAATGAATCTGTATCCAGAGTAACTTTATGACTAAAATAATTGTAATTATTATCAAAGCAATAGTAAGATTGTGGGGATTTATATACTTGTGTTTCCATCCATGGTACACAAGGCCATCCTCTGACCATGATCTAATCAGCCTTTCGTCCTGATTAGTGAATACCTTAGTCACTATACCATACGTGACTATGTCTGTGCTAAAAATAGGGCTAGCTCCGCCGGGTTGTAGCTGATATTCGAGGTGGTAATAATTCTTAGGTTTTACTGCTTCGTAGATTCTTTTACGACGATTGGTTCGCGTTGTTTCATAGAAAGGTAAAGGTTTACCGCCTGCAATAAGAGGATTATGATGACTAACTGTGAAGGAATCAACTAACTTGACTCAGCTTGGATCAGAATGACATTTATGGACACAATATGTGACTCTTCCATCGCCATGGCAGATCGGCTGGGTGGAGCTGCATTAGTGTTAGGTGTCCATAGCAACAAACCCCTCCCCAAAATGAATGGCTTTCTCAAAGTTGGTCTACCAATGATTCTCTTTTTGGTGGCAGGTTCCTACGGATTAACGCAATTTACTTCTATCAGAATAAAGAAAAGAGATGAAAAGAACAGGATGTTGACTGCAGAGGAAACTCTTAGTTTTCAAAAAGCAAAAAAAGTTGTGGTTGTTGAAGAGGAGTATGAACAATTGATGGAGTCTTTGGACATCAATAATTGGGAAAATAAACGTGGACCACGACCATGGGAAGAAAATATTTCAAATAAATAATAATTATTATAATAACTACTTTGAAGTCAAATGAAATTTTATGAACAAAGATTTATACATGTAGATCTATTCTATGATTCTATTACAATTATTAATGTGGTAGAGTTTGTACCAGTAAGCCCTGTAATTATACTGAGGAAAAGAATAAATGAAATGGTTACTCTACCTTGCGTGCCTTTTTTACACACTGTGCATATTCTTTAACTTCACTCAAGCACTTAAGTGTACTTTTAGCATTATGGCTATAACAAAACAGGACAGCTTCCTTCTGTTCTTCACATACAGGGATTAACTGTCCCACTTGTGACTCACTATGCATTTTAGCAGTATTAAAATGAATTTACTGAACATGTTACCTAAATTGAATCTTTACTCTTGAAGCGGCTGATTCAAACTCTTCATCAGTCAATTTTTTATATTCTTTGTTCTGTTAGCATAATCATTTTGTGCAACAAATCCAACTTACTTTCATTCTCTCTTGTTCATATAAAGCTTGCAATTTAGAGTCACCATCTGATGAAGTGCCTCGTAACTACAATAATTCAGCATATTACAAACATAATGATAATTATGCCATTGTTACCACATCTTGTGCTCTAGGTGCCGGATCAATCATAGTTTCATCTTTACCTACAATGTAGACGTTAGAAATAATTATTATATTCACTAAAGCATTAAAATACATTCAATTTTTTCACATCCTTTAAATTTTGCAGCTTGCAATTTTAAGATAAATAGAAGGCACAAAATAGCAAAATGAACTCTTACATCCATGATACATGTACCAAAAAGTACATGTATTTCATTATACTGTACACAAACACCTTGTGTATTACATTTTTAACTCAATTTAATTTCGGAATGATAACATAAATGTAGCATAAGAGTTAGCTAGAACATACTGCACATGTCTTTATTTTTGAGGTGCATTAAATATTTTATAATTACTTTTGTGATTCAAAACAAATTCAAAAAAATTTAATTTGAGCCCCTCCTTTACCAAACACCAGACCTGCGGTCAATTACAATTACACATTTAATTAAACTCTTTTTGTAAAGGTTGACTCAATCAGAATTACAATTATTCAATGTAAAAGTAATTTCAATTAATAATACTATTTTCATGTTTAAAGAGACACATACACATAGCTTGCTTGCTTTAAAAAACAGCAGTAGAAGTATTAACATACATGTATTGTCACCAGGGTTTCTCCCAATGTGTGCGAAGTGAATTACACAGCATACTTCATGAGCTTACAAGCAATTAGCAATACACTAGTCACATCTAAAATTTATAAAAAATTTGATAGAAATCAGTTAAAACTAGATATACAGCATCAGAGCAACTATAATTATAAAAATCAAGAACTGTCTCCTAGACTTTTCTGACAAAATACCATGGATTACTGAGCAAGCTAAACAGCACGCATCACAAGCTGGCAAGAACCTGAGCAATATACTGAGACACTTTGATTATCACACTTCTATCTACATGTGTATGGTGCATGTACACATGATAATGTAATGCGAAGTGGTTACTGGCTACTGAAGTAGATTAAGAACATTTTCATGAGTTTGTATTGATTTGGAACACTATGACACAACTCAGTTTTGACAAAATTTCAGCTACATTCTGTTCAGGCTTAAGTCTCAATTTAATCAAACACAATTACAATTTTATACCAGCAAAAATAAATTTTTAACAATCTTTCATGCACCTCAAAAATTAAGAAGTGTATGGTAATTTAAATGGCAAAGCTAATCAATTACAACAATAGAGTCAATTAAAAATTGTTCAAAATACATATACAGTTTCATGGCCAAGAGCAAGAACACTTGCGGGATCATTGTGCATTTCATATTGAATAGCAAACAGGAAATTAAATTATTACGGTAGCAACAAGCACCTATACTATTTCATAGAGGTGGGCGATACGATACCAAAGTACTCATATATCCGATACCAGGCCTCTGATACCAACACCCAATCCTGGTATTGAGTAGAGTATTGACTACATCTACTTTGACGTCATAATGATGGCCATACCCTTTTATAATTTAAAAATGGTGGCTGATTTCTTTGATTTTCATTAATACTGTAGGGCACCTTTTTTCGAGAGCTGTAAATTTCGCGGATTTCGCGATTTTCTTTAAAATTCACTAAAATTACTTCCGCGAAAATCAAATTAATACTGTAAAAGATGGCAGACAGCATAAATTTGCAAAAATGAAATCTGCAAAATAAAAATCCACGAAACCTATAGCCCTAAAAAAGGAGCCCTACGGTAACTAATTATAACTTATTTGAACATTCACAGTAGCTGACTACTCAGTACAGCTGATACTCAGACTACTTGGAATCAGTATCACCCACCTCTACTATTTCAGGCTAAACCAAACCATCTATTAAACATTAATATTCCTTATTATGCATTTATTCAACTTACCAAGGTCATTGCTGCCATTAGAGGTTTCTTGATCTGTGACATAGTTAACAAAATCTTCTGAAATCTATGATAGCAATACACTAAACTTTTAATTGAATAATGTCTTACCGTAACATCAGTTGCTCCTTGTCCAGTTTCAATAGTAAGAACCCGGGGACCTGACTGTGTACCTCCCATGATGGCTAATTACTAGTAGGTGCGGCTCTCTATTTTATAGCAGGTGTGGCTGCGCTGCTAGAGGACCATGCCAGGCCACGTGGGGCGATACCAGCCACCCTGTAAGTATGCACCTTTGTAACATGTATACACAGTACATGTACTTGTGTTATAAAATGAGGGCATGTACAAATAATGTATACATGTAATCTAGATTGATTATATTTCCATATTAGGGTGAGCCTAATATCTATCACGATACCAAAGAAATTTTTAATCGATACCCATACCAAGTAGTTTGAGTATCAATATCGGTAGTATTGTGTACTGAATGAATAGTGTCAACTACTACACATGCACAGATATGTTATAATTTAGTTATTAACAAAAATCAAAGGAAACAAGGTGCCTAATTTTTTTGTAATTGTAAAAGGGTGGGCCATCATTGGACTCGCGTAGGCGGGTACTAAGCAGTTGGGTTGTCATTGCCCTTGCCCATGCCGTAGGCGTATAGGCGAGGGTACTGCGATTGTCCATAGATAACTACATATTTTGTATTACATATTACAACTACATATTTTGTAAAGGCCTGGTGTTGCAAGGTAAATGCAACGGCAATACTTAATACTTTTTTTGATGTCATTAGTATTCAAGAGCCATTATTTACTGCAAATCATCATACATTTCAATGTAAGTTACGTAATATAGTTTAATCAAAGTCACTTGTTTTGCAGAACGATTCAAACTATCTCTGATATGGAAGGCCAAGTGCGACAAAAATAAAAAAGATTTATAAACATTAAAGAAAATTGTTTGCGATGCGCGAAGCGCATCGCCTCATTAATACATCGATTTTGTAATCGATTTTTCAATCAATTTTCCTAGGATCATTTCCTCACGTGATCTCAAAGGACCCCGCCCTAACAGGATGGCGATTTAAAGAGAAAGTCCTTGAAGACAAGAAACCCGGCCAGTGAGATTATTGAAAAAGTTGTAATGGTTAGTTTTTGTTGTAATTGCTTCCAATGATGACGCTTGTGTAGTTACTTGGATGTATGAGGAATCTGGACCTCACTGTAGCCTGCTGTGTAAGTGTGTAGCCTGCTGCCCGGCGACTATCTATGCTGGCACTCAGTGAAAACTACTTCAACTAAGTGTGTTTTCTACATTTGAGTGTTT